TATGGGGTGAAGCCAGTGAAGATGGCGCGAAAGTTCAACTTCCTGTCCAGTATGGAAGCCCGTCTCCCTGTTCCTCATTTCACCTGACCAGCAGCATGCAAATGTTGCGGGGAGCAGAATCTCCCAAGGCGGCGGTGGGTGGAACCTTGCAGTTTTGCCTGGTTCTAAGCAACAACGCCAATGCAGGCTAGGATGGGGCTCGTTTGCTGATTACAAAATAATTAAGCCCACCGATTGTGACGAAGAAGTAGTGGGCTCGATTACCAGGAGCCAGGAGCCCAGGCTTCGTTGGGGCGCGAAAGTCACATCCAGCCAATCGAGCCGCTGAACCTGCGACGGGGTCCTCGCTGGGCCCTCAGGCCAAGAGTGCGGGCTTGGAAAGGTGGGCAAGTGAGACAGCCAGACCGAGCTTGACTTCGCGTACCGCAGGAAAGGTGGGTGGCTTCTCTCATCAGCAACTGACAAGTCACTTGAGCCGTCCACGCACACGACGTCGTTTGGCACATTGAGATTCCCCATTTAGCGTCGTGTGTGTGTGTGTGGCTGACAAGGTTCGTAAGGTTGGCAACATGGAACTTCCACTGCCCAAAACTCTCTGAGCGAACGCTATGACATAGCCCTTCTACAGTCCCCATTGGACGTTCAGCGAGGCGATGGAGGTACAGCGTCACCCGCGGGGGGGGGGTTCCTGGAAAAGAGTCCTGGGCGGGAGACGGGGCTGCCAAGGGTCCAAGGCCCGGGGTCCAGGATTCCGTTGGTAAGGGTACCTACCATACCGCCGTTGTGCTGCTTGGCGGCTCAGAGGGGGAAACCATCCGATCTGCCCCGGGATTCGTCCATCGACCCAGGGACAGTCACCATGGCTGCGTCGCGACGCAGCGGAGAATTCCATGAATGTGAGGGATGGTGGCCCCCCCTCGCTCCCTCCACCCCAATGCTGGAGTACATGGTACATGGTATTGCTAGTGGCTGATGGGTCGGTCGATGGCTGATGATGCCCGATGGAGACAGGGTCTGCTCCCATCGGGCGCTGCGAAGCCCTGCCCACAAACCGACAGCTGAAAGCCCTGGAAATCCGTTCTTGGTCGTCTTCAGGTACGGCTATCGGCGTCGGTATGAGTTCGGTGTGGTCTACCCGGACGGTCTCGCAATTGGAGGGCTGAAGACGTCCGACGTCAAGCAAGGCGGTTGTGCTTCTGCCTGTTTATCGTGTCGCATACGGCGGTTTGCTTTGCAGGAAGTTCAAGCCAGAAAGGACGTGGTCATTTGCCTTGTTTGTGTCAACTGAACCCCGATGGACTTGCTTTTGTGGATGTGGGTGTGGAAGACTTAGTCTTCCCTTCCTTCTCGCTCCCACATACGCGATGCTGAGCGCCACTGTAGTCCGCTTCGCCTCGCGTCTGCTCTCGGAACGACAAGTCTGTACCATCTTACCGGGATCGACGTTGTCTACAGCGCGAAACAAACTTTGCATTAGTACAAATTTGAATGAACGCAACGCGGGCGTGGGAGTCTGAATAGCAGGATGACATGTGAAGGGTTTACCATTCACCGATGCGCCACGGCGGGTAATCCGAGCAGGTAACATGAGCCCTCCGTTGCCTCTTGTCTCTCAATGTCTCTACAGAGCAATGATTGCTCTATTTGTTTCCAGCCTGGCTCATCGGCTCCCGTGTTGGCGGGTTCCTAGCTGCAGGTGGCCCAGTCGGGAAGGCAAAAGCCTCCGCCATACCCAGGCCATCGGAGATGCCACGAACAACACTCGTCAAGCAAACATCGACCCACCCAAAGAAGATGCGATTCAAAACATGCCATTCGAATCCTGACCCCCTTGCGGCAGAACGGGGATCCGAATTGGTTATTTGCCCCTCCCAAGAGTCTGAAGTTGTGTGCTTCGTGGTGTACGAGATACCTTCCGCTAGGCTTTCTGCTCAAGGTTTCCAAATTCGATGCTCGCACGCCCCTCAAGATATCGCCTGCCAACAGGTGCTCCTCCTTCTTTTCATACCCAGCCCTTGACTGCTCCTCCCATCTTTCTACCCGTCCGTAGTTGAGGGGAGTACCTGCTTCCCTCAGCCTGTCCTTCCGCAAATGCAACAAAGTCTACCACAAACGCGTAATTTCGTCAGGGACTCCCTTCGTCATGCCATCCACCATTTTCACTCGAACGGTAGAGAGGCATTCACCGTAGGTACCTACCTCAGCATCCTGACGAATATGCTTACCGTTGCATCAGATGTAACATGTTCACCGAGTCGCACTTTTCTTTTGTCGTGTCCCATTTGGTGCTCTTTTCAAATGCAGACCAGTTGGCACCAATCCAACCCAACCCTTGCCCTGGCAACCTTGTCCTTTCCAACTCTCGCATTCCCATCTGGACCACGCGGTCTGAGAGCGCCCATCGAGCGTCCATCGTTCTGCAACAGTGCTTGACCTCTGGACCCACCGCTTTGTTGACGGCGCTCTCTCACCGTGGCTCCAACGGCCGACTGGGGATACCATCCTTTTGCCTGATGCAGTTTCAACAACCCTGGAGCGAAGCACCCGGTACAAATGCCGATCTCTGCACCCTACTAAATATGGCGGCGATGGCGGTACCCCTGGTCGGCGCGGCTTTGGATCGCCAAATGCAAGCTTGCCCAAGTCATGTGAAGTCTCTATTGACTGCGCCGCAATCCTCGGCAGAGCTCGCAGTCGCCTGCTGGTCGAACGCAGTCGATTGCGACTTTTCAACCATGTCCTAGCATGCGCCCTGGAACTTGACCAGTCCGACAGGCTGTGCCACAGTTTCGGACAAGCTGACTGTGGACATGCAGCACAACCTGGTTCCTTCTGCAAACGCCATCACAATTGACAGATTCTGTGCTGAACCTGTCACTATTTGCATGGTTTGGCTGAAGAGCAACAAGGGTCACGCAAATTGCGACCACGTCGCAGAGTTGGACCCTGCTGACCCATGAAGAAACCATCATGTCTCAGAAACATCATTTCGGTACCATCGACACGCAGGCGGGCCAGGCCGCGGGGTTGTCATCTTGTACGCGTGATGGACAGCGATCCACCAGAACGATGGTGTTCCAACTTGATAGAACCCAGCCTCACGCAAACTATATTAGTTCTCCCAGCACGAGTTGTTGCACTTCATTTACGACCTCCGCGGCATTGAAACTT